CTGAAATGCAGTGATTAGGAAAGGGATTCCCACAATCGAGTCTCTTAAAGCTCGTGTATCCGATTAAAATGTAGCTGTGTCATATCAACATAATCTTCCAATGGTTCTTTAAAGCAATTCCACCAGAAAAGGTTAGATCTTACATGAAGCCTTGAAGCATAGCATTTTTGAAATCATAAAATAAAAATAGTAACCCAAAAAGTTACGTGTCATTTCTCATTATCGCCACATTTCTGTCATTTGTAACATTTTTGGTCCGCATAAAAGGCACCCCGTTGTGATGTTGCACCGGTTTGCCTTCTTGTGCTTTAATCAAATCCTGAGAGCATTTACACGGAATTCGCACACAAGTGCTCCATACTATTCCCATTCATTTATTACGTTTTCAATTAGAAGTTCTACGCAGTTGTTGCCGATTTACTGTTGCATAGCAATGCCAAATTTAACCACTAAAACGAAACTTCTCATGCAGCCCTTATGGCAGTCTGTCCTAATATAGGTAAAGTTTGACTAAAATAAAGTTTGGATACGACCATTCGCATAAGTATTAAATCAGTAAGCGCGGAAGCGCAGTTACTTATCATTAGGTCTGCAGTCAATAGCAACGCAGTTTTGCCCTGCCCTCTCCCGATTTTTGCATAGTCAATACAGGTAGCCAAGATTTAAAATGAGTTTAATTGGGCGGGTGGTCTCCGATTCTTCTTAAGAGAGTTTGTATAAAACCGGATAAATTAAATATATATTTCTACTTAAGTAAAAAAGTGGTCCACCAATAAGTAATATTTGGTGCATGAAATTTGACTTATGAAATGCGCTAGCATTTCTTCTAATTTCATTTCCATTTCTGCACTGTTCTTTCGATGCCCCACTGGAAATACCTTGTTTTAATGAATTTACCACATCATGAACGAACTAATGAACGCTGTTATTTAGGGAATAATTTACCACTTTAAATTATTTGGTATTTCGAACCAAATAGGCAGATAGATGTAGGCAAAACGTCATACATTATTGTGATACTCTTTCTTCGAAAGTATTTTAGTCTTAGCAACTGATGGGTGTCTGGATTAAGTGAAGAGATTCTTTCCTTTATAACAAGTCTTAGTAAGCGTCAGGTGACAACATTTGTGTGAAGGCAACATTTACATCCTGATTTGCCTACCTGATGTGGTGCTGGATTCTCTTCATGTACCTGCCTAAAGTGTGGGGTAAATCGTCAGTAAATGTATTCTTCCCCTTAGCCTTGTTTTACTTGTAGCTGCATGGCATTAGGCTTTCCAGGTTACCTGTTACAGCTCTTCTTCTCGAAACGATGATTGATTACTGACTGGGACGTGGCCATATAAAATCTGGAAGAAAGGAGCCTGGTGTCGATCCACAGTTAATGAAATCCATCTGTCCGCGGTGCGTAATTTTGTATTTTTAACATAAACCGACACCCTTCGGATATACTTAACACCAAAATCAAGTTTGGCAAACTTCGCGCGCTATTGTTAACATATTTGTACATTAAGTTGCAGTTTTCGGATATTTCGTTTGTCTGTGTGTTGAACTAATTCCGTACTCCAGTCTCCGCAGCTTGCACTTCCGCTCTGCAACGCGGCTTTCAGGCCATGCTACTAGTCTCCCGAGTACCAGCAATGTATGTTCCACTGCACTACTCTTGCTTATTATAACCTTAAGAGGAAGAGTGGAGAAGCCAAATGTTTTTAGAAACTTTGATTTTCATCTTAAAAAACAGGTGAAAGGGGTGTCCCTTGAATGTCATTTAAAGATTAATAATGGTAGGTTAACTTATGTAGGTTTGATCTAGTTTTAAGTAGCTTATGCCTAATTTTTGGTTTCATTTCTTACTAAAAGCATGATTCTTTAAATATTCACAAACTTTGTTTAGTTTGTAATGAATTTACTCTTAAGCTGTACATTATTTTATGCGACTACATTAAATGAGTAATTTACAATACACAATTTATGTTGAGTAAAGTTAACACTTGCGTCAACTTCCTTTCTCCGTACCACCCGAACTGCATCTGATAACTTTTGTAAGGTATGCTGGCCAGGAGGTGGCTTCATCATTAGTTTGTGTGGGATATAAATATGAAAAGGCACCATCAGAACACCTTTCTTTCTAAGTAGGAGTCAAAATCTCGGGAGGCCGAAAAGACTTGTTCAGTGCAGGATCACTTTATCACAATTTTATAGTTGTGATCACTAGACTTTTCTGAAAAAAAAGGAATTGCCCAAATAAGTTTCGAAAATTTTCTCCTAAGAGACGATGTTTGGTACTTCCTTAGGAAAGAATTCAATCTCTTGCTTCAGTGCAAGTCGTGTAATTACACTTGAGCATATCTTTTATCAACGATATGCCGCTGTAGATGTCTAGACGCTCGGAAAATGTTCTTGTTTCAATTTTTCAGAGGTCTTCTTTTTAGTGCACAATTCTTGAACATTCTAAAACGCCTCAAAAATTGTACCTTCCCTCAATTCGCCACGTTGACCAATATCACGCACAGATAGACTTTGAATGAGGTAATAACCACTAAAAGGTTAAGGACAATCAAACACTTAGGTATTTAAGAATAAGACCATTCTGAGTTTTTAGTAAACTTGCAGCAGTTACGTATGCATAAGTCGTACCCCCATTTTACTCGTATACATTGGCAGATAAAGACGTTCGTATTGAAGCCTTTGGCTTCCATTTACTCAGGCTGAGAACTCAGTAGGATTCAGGTTGACGCACATAAATGTCAATCAATAACGATATTAAAAAGCCTAATAAAGTCCGATCATGACACATGACGAAATTTGACCTTAAGCATGGCATTAGCGATCAAAATCCGTGAAAATTGGAATCAATCCATTTAAAACGTTTCGGTAAACATAGGTTTTTCGGTGCTCACTGATGCACTCAGCTTGCTCTAGTCCTAAATATTTGGGAAAAATGCAGCTCTCCAACCCTTGTCTTTCCACCTGACTGATCTGTAACCCTAAAATTAAACTCACTTAACGAAGAGGCTTATTTGGCCACACTATTGGGCAGCTGAAATCCTTACTACGGGCCTAATGGGCAAATACACCGAGGCAGATTTGAACGGATATTGATTGTCAGCGGCCATAAAAATAATACTAGATGTGCAGCCATTCATTGCCAGCAGGGATTTAACATGATAGTGCATTTTTCATAGCCCAAATGAGTAGTGAGCGCTTACGCATCCTGTTTCTTGAAATTTCAACACTTATTTGGCTGGTTTGCCTCTACTAGCACCTAATTGTTAATATCCTTTGCTTTTTGCACTTTAAAGGGAATTTTAATGAAATGTAAGTAAACGAGTTGAAGGCGGTACGAAAGTAAATAGATTTCATCCCATTACATTGCGGATTCCAGGCAAGGTTTTTAAAAAGCCCAGTTTGTTTCCACATTTTAAAACAAACATTGGTATGAAAAGTGACCTCTAGAATATATTTCAACAGTATTTGTAGTTACTAAGCTATGCATGCTCGAGTTAAAACATTCGCTTGCCATTAGCAAATGATGTGCTAAACTATACCCAGATCCCTCGGTTGAAATTTTGGCTACTAGAATAA